CCGGCCCCCGAGCCTGGGGGTGGCCCCCCGGGGGGAGCCGCACCCGGCGGGGGCGTCCCCGGGGCCGTGCCCCCCCTGCCCGTGCTGAAGCCGGGTGCCAAGAGCAGCAGCATCATTGTCAGCCCGCGGCAGGTGAGGGGCCAGGGGGGGCAGGGGGACCCTCACCCGCTGTCGGGGGGCCTGGAGGGACTGTCCCTTGGAGTCTGGGGACACAGGGGGGCCATCCCCCGGTGTCGTGGGGAGCTGGGGGGGGCTGTCCCCTGCAATCTGAGGACATACCTGGGCCCAGGTGTGTGCGAGTGTGTGCCTGGGCCCCCAGGGACGAGGGAGGGAGGGAGGGAGGGAGGGGGCTGTCCCCTGGGATCCCGGGATGAGGAGGGGGGGCCGTGGGACTCTTCCCATTCTCCTGACCCCCTGCCCCTCTCTCGTCTCCCCACAGCGGGGTAACCCCGTGCTCAAGTTCGTCCGCAACGTCCCCTGGGAGTTTGGTGACATCGTCCCCGACTATGTCCTGGGCCAGAGCACCTGCGCCCTCTTCCTGAGGTGAGCCAGGGCTCCGGGGAGGGTCTGGGGGGGTCCCCTCGGCATCACCCTGTCCCTGCTGTCCTCCCCCCAGCCTGCGGTACCACCACCTAAACCCCGACTACATCCACGACCGCCTGCGACGCTTGGGCAGGAGCTACGGGCTGCAGCTGCTGCTGCTCCAGGTCGACGTGGTGAGAGGAGGCTCCCTGTCCCCTCATCCTGCTGTTTCCTCCATCCCCTCACTCTTCTGGTCTCCTCTGTCCCCTCTGGTCCCCATCCCCTCACTCTCCTGGTCTCCTCTGTCCCCTCTGATCCCCACCCCCTTGCTCTCCTGGTCTCCCCTGGTCCCCACCCCCTCACTCTCCTGGTCTCCTCTGTCCCCTCTGGTCCCCATCCCCTTGCTCTCCTGGTCTCCTCTGTCTCCATCTCACTCTCCTTGTCCCTTTGTCCCATCTGTCACCTCCGGTCCCTGTCCCCTCGCTGTCCCCTCTCCCCCATCCATCCCCTCATCTCCTGTCCCCTCTTGTCCCGCTGCAGAAGGACCCCCACCAGGCGCTGAAGGAGCTGGCAAAGGTCTGCATCCTGACCGACTGCACCCTCCTGCTGGCCTGGAGGTAGGGGCTGTCCCCGCTGTCACCCGTGGGGGACCCTGCTGTCACCCGTGGCTGCACCCCACTCCGTCTCCCCTCCCCAGCCCCGAGGAGGCCGGGCGGTACCTGGAGACCTACAAGGCCTACGAGCAGAAGCCAGCAGACCTGCTGAAGGAGCGGGTGGAGCAGGATTTCCTTTCCCGGGTGAGCTGTGCCCCACCCCCCCACCTCCTCTTCACACCCCAATTTGGGGACCTTTGGGTCCCCTGACCCCCCCGATGTCCCCCCCCGTTCCAGATGACCGACTGCCTGACCAGCATCAAGTCGGTGAACAAGACGGACGCGCTGAGTCTGCTCACCACCTTCGGGGTGAGTCACCTCTGGGGACGCGCCACCCTCCCCGGGGGG